TGTGGGAACTATTGGGTCGGTGGTGTATTTGCATAGAAAAACAGAAAAATATGTCATGACTTTCCCAATGGCCTAATAGATCAATTTCAATGTTTTCATATTATTAGGAGGAAAAAAAAAAAGCAGGACATTTCTGCAGTTTCTTGGCCAGCTGGTCTTTTTCCCAAATGCAATTATCTTTTTCTAATACCAAAAGGTAGTGAAGCTTTCATGTGAAGGTCATGATAGCAATGATGAGAATAATAATAATACATATTACTGGCTGCCACGTACGGTACCAAGCACTTGATGTACATTAACTCTTCCAATTCTCAGAGCACCATGCTATATGTGTAGACAGAACTATCTTAGTTACTGAAAGGTTAAAACTATGACTAAGGCCAGTGAGGAGCAAGCAGAGCAAAAGTTTAAACCTAACCTATCTTTCATACCTGTAAAGATGCAAACAACTCTCTAAACTACATTTATATGTAGTATCTTTGTCTTCTTAATGAACAAGGAACCAGAATTCAAGCACCTTCCCAGTGTTTCGTGGAAACGCACGGACATTAAATGCAACCAATGAGTTCTATTTTGGACATCCACTTTAGTTACTCTGGATGTTATTTGAATACTAACTTTCTAGTACTATGAGCAGTTGCTATTCAAAATATTTATGTCCTATTACAAAATTAGATCACTCTTAAGCATGACATCTAATTTTTTAAAAAATTAACTTCATTTTACCTCCCAGAGTTAAAATATTCATATGCTTTTCTGTTGTGATTTTGGAAGTTTTAGATATATGTGATAATTTATAACCTGAATAATAGATTACTACAGACAGCATTTCTCCATTCTTTTCCACTTTTCCTAAAGACTTTCTCATGTAGTTTCTCTTACCTCCTGTCTATTTGCCTCTTATTCCTCTCCAACAAAACATGATTTTCTTTCATCTTTGAGCTTCGTTCCCTCCCTAACATCATTTGAGTTAATTGCAAGTTGTGTGAAGTCAGATCTCCTTGATGACTTCTAACCATTTCCATTTATTGGAATTGTAAAGAAACACCAAAGTTTGTTTTGCCAAATAGTCTTGTGATCCCTGGCAGAAGTCATATCACTCCATTATAGTGTCGCCATGTACCCATGAAGAAAGGTCATTCTACTTCAGACACACACATATATGCTATAATGAAGACCCTAACTCAAAGGATATCACAGACAGCAGCGCCCACTGCTGCTTCTAGGACTTTCTGGATCTGCCTTCTTAGCTGTGCCCTCTGGAAGCATTTCAGAGTAAGAAACTAGTCATGTCCCAGGACCAGGATTCCAATCTACCACTGCAACATATAAAGACCTGTTCACTCTTGTACACTCAATGACTCCAGCCTACATGTCAAATACTTGCTGGCTTATCTGTGTATTAACTTATTTCTTTTCCTAGGCCTTCAGGATCTATCAGATCCCTTCTCTAAACTTCTTATGTCCTGTCTTGTTGCTATCCATGCCCTGGCATGAAAATACTAAAACGGTTGAGAAAAAGGCCCTAGCCATTTTAGTACCCTAAATTTTATTGGTTTATCCTACAAAGAATTTTTACATAAAAAGTTAAAATAAGTTTAAAAGTTCATTGTTACTATTCTAATATGTTGTAATAGATTCTAAGCAACTGTCTCTTTTATAGGCAACATAATTACAAGTGAATTACAAATGCAGACTTTATGACTCCAATTAAACTATAGGCCATAATCCATTAAAAACAGATTATACACATTAAATTAGATGTAAGGAAAAATAAATATGGCACATGATTTAAACTGTTAAAACAAATGAGGAGAAATAATTTTAAATTGTTTATGTTTATCTAAAATTTTTATCAACATAATCTAAACAATTTTTTTTTTAATTTCAACTTAGAAAAAAATCTTATGCTGGGAAAAAAGCAGCACCAGATCCAAGATGGTGGCTAGCAAAAAGTTGATGTAAGAGCTTGAAGAAATCCTCAAATATGGAATGAAAAAGCTCTGTAACATACAGGTTGATGATGGTAATTTATTGACTTGGTAGGGGTTTATTGTTCCCAACAACCCTCCATATGACAAGGGGGCTTCAGAATCAGAATCAACTTTCCAGCAGAGTACCCATTCGAAACACTGAAGATCGCATTTAACACAAAGACCTATCACCCCAACATCAATAAGGGGCAGGTCTGTCTGCCAGTGATTAGTGCCGAAAACTGGAAACCAGCTACCAAAACCAAACAAGTAATCCAGTCCCTCGTAGCACTAGTGAACAAACTCCAACCGGAGCACCTCCTATGGGCTGACCTAGCTGAAGAATACTCGAAGGACCATAAAAAATTCTGTAAGAATGCTGAAGAGTTTACAAAGAGATGTGGGGGAAAGCGATCTGTGGCCTAAGATCTGCCATAATTGATTCCAGCAACTTTGAGCACAGACCCCAAGCAGTGCATTCGGCAAAGCAGGACTCTGGAAAATTGACACATGCCACCACCTGGCGTTCGCTTGTGGCAGTTACTGACTTTCTACAATTTTCTTAATCAAAAGTGGTCTAGGTTACCGATAAAGAAAGTATTAAAATTTAAGATATTCTAAAAAAAAAAAGGGGGGGGTGACCCCCTTTGGCGTTGGATATGTCATAATGGCTATGTTGCTGGGCTCCCATGTAGTTGACAGCGGTTCGAGTCCTGGACCCAGTGGCTTTAACTCTCGTCAGGTATGTATGCGTGCATGCCCAAGACCCCGAGAGGAGAGTGGAGAAGGGATTGCGGTGGGGTGATTTCTCATTTTCTGTCTCTCTGTCTCTATTTTTCTGGCGAGCATGTGCACCCTATAGCAAAAACCTCTCAAAAAAAGAAAAAATATTATACTTAATTTTCATATGCATATACATCACACTTTCTCTTTTTTATTTTATTACTTCATAATACTCAAAGAGTATCTTTGAAAGTACTTTTCAAGAGTCTGAGATTAGAAGAGTTCTATATTTTAGTTGTAGGAATATATATTAGTTTTAAGAATATTAAATGTAGCCAGTGTGATCTATTTTGGAGATACACTAAACTTGGAACTATTTAATTGTAGGGATTTTATTTTGCAAGAATCAAATCAAGTAACTAGAAATTAGTTTGAAGCCAACTGGAATATCAACATTATAAAACTGAGCAAGGGAGCAGATCTTAAAAATGTCAGTCAGGAAGGTTACACCTCGGATTCCACACTTGAGAGATTCATTTATTGCTAAGATATTTCCTCTGAAGTGTTTGAATGCATTAGGACTAGATTATATTATGAAAAGCAGCGTACTTGATATTATGTTTGTCAAGTTCAATTCTACCTGGTCCTCACTACCATCTTTCAAATCTTACTTCTGTAGTGAAGAGTGAAAAATGAGAATAATGGGAGGCTGGCAGGTGGTATGGTGGTTAAAGATGCTGGACTCCCACATGGCCTACTGTGCTTCGAGTCCAGAACCTGGTGGCTTGCTTTCTCACTTTCCCTCTCTCTCTCTCTCTCTCTGTCTCTCTCCGATCAAACTGGAAAATAATAATAATAAATAAAGTTAAATAAAGAATAACTCTTTCAAAAAAGAAGAATAATGTTTAGTGTGAATCTAGCTCCTGAGATGTGGACAAGCACTCAATAAAGCAGAAGAAAAGGAATTTAAATCAGGCAAAAATATCTACAAGCAAGAATACTTGGGGTGGCGGTGGGGGTTGCAGAGAAGTCTACAGGAAAACAAACAGCATTTTATATAGAAGATGGAGAACTTACAAAAATGAACTTAAAGCCATGTTTTAAAAAATGAGATAAATTAGCTCTAAGTATTCCAAAAATTTGAGGAGATAATGTTATTTCTAGGAGAAAGTAACATTGCCAATAGTGACATTTTTCATTTTTCAGAATTATGCCAGAGAGTATGAACACTTGGGGGGAAGGGAAGAAATGAAAAGTGAGAAAGCAACTCTCCTCTCCCATACAGTCTGTCCCCCCTGCTCCCCCCACCCCCCGGCCGTGCCACTCATGCAGGATGGCCACGCCACAGTTCCTTCTCTTCCATTTTCCTTTCAGGATTTTTGGCACTCATATACACACACCCAGTATGTTTCTCAAGTCTCTGGCTCTGGGACTCAAACCACACAGTCAGTCATAGAGGATCCAACCACCTTAATTACCATGTAACCAGCTGATAGTGATGTTTAAGGTAAAGAAAGGAAATTCTCATCAGGAAGCCAAGAGACTATATACCAGAAACAACAAAGCCCTTTTGCCCTCTGCAGTCCCGGGACACAGAGATAAGTGAGATATAAAGATACAAGAAAGAGACTGAAGAGAAGATATTAAATGATTTAAAATGTTTTAAAAATAAATTTATTTTAAAAAATAAATAAATTTAGTAAATAAAAGAAGTCATGCTTCTGAAATTTTTAAGCTGTGTCTGAAATTAAAACATGGAGATACATCTTATTATGATGTTCAAGTCATGATCAACCTGAGACCATACTCTTTTTGAAATATGTACTTTTCCTCATCTAGTTCATGCAAGTTTTTTCAAAGTCACCAGTGGCCTGGCAAAGCTTTCTAACTGAAATATTCTTAGCATACTTTATCAACAACACATATTTTATCAAGTAAATAGAAGCAATGCAGCTTATCCTTCATCATGTTTTCTACCACTGTTTGCGTTAGGAGAGCCTAATGGTTAAACACACAGGAGGGACATAAGTACTAACAACCGAATGAAAACAAATGGGAGGGTGTCATGGATATCTAAAATGTGTTGGTTTAAGACAATCCCTCTCATTGGAAGTCCTGGGGAAAAGACTCATGTAAGATATAGGTAGAAGAGAATAAATTTTAGAAGAACAGGTAAATAGCCTTTTAACTGAAGCATTTTATGAAAGCCTTTTGTGTGTTCTTTTGGATTGTTACTGCTATTAATTTTCATCACTGAGCTATGATTTGTTGGTAGAAGGAAAGTAAAGTCAGCCTATGCCTTACCGCCTCCACTTCAGCAGGGTCATACCAGACGTTAATGTACGGGTGCTGTAAGGCGTCATCCACCGATATCCTTTTTGCTGGGTCAATCACTAGCATCTTCGACAACAAGTCCCTGGCTTGGCTGGCTAAAAAAAATGAAGAAAAAAGTTATTAAGATTTTTACTTTTACAAGGAAATTTTTTTAACAGAGAGGAAACAATGAATTAAATATCACTTTTCTTCCAAATGTCAGGGAGATTTCTTGATATGTTAGAAAAGAAATTGTCTTTTGTATCTCTATCTGTGTCTGTAAGCCTAAGGCTTTGTTTGGGGTCTTTAAAGGTTGTGATGCTGTGTACATGAGTATAATTATTCACTTAGATGTTTAAGTTGAATTTATGAACCAAGAAAGTCAATTTTTAAAAGTTATTCATTTAATTTGAATGATTATTACTATTACTATTTAATTAGCTGTAGGGTGTGTGCATTCACCAGAAAGAAAGAGAAAGAAAGACAGAGAGAGGGAAAGTAAGAAAGTAAGCTACCAATTCTGGGACTCAAACCGTGGTTAGCCATGTGGGAGTCCAGCACGTTAACCACCAAGCCATGTGCTGGTCCCACCAAGAAAGTTTTTGTAAGTAATCTGCTTGAGTAACCAGTATGAACAAAGGATAACAAAGACAAAGAGCAGGAAAAATGCTAATACATGACGCTTGTCAGATTCATGGATGACTGTTTCAAACTAATCCCGTATGTGTTTTCATATGAATTCTCGTTCATAAAAAAAATCATCAGAATTTGAGTATTCAAACTGATGTAAGAAATTATGTAGTACAAATTTCTTATATACCTGAAAACAAACTAAAGAGTAGATAGAAATACTACTCAATTTTGTTTTAAAATCCTAAAATCATCAGACATTTTTAATCAATGATATCATGATTTGATGAAATCAGGTAGCAAGTGACTTAAATCAGCCCACTACAATACCAAACATTAATGAAAAATTATATTATATACTTTATCATGATTAACTTTATGGATATGAGCAGAGACAATTATAAAATTGTTTGGTGATAAACAGTAAGCATATTTATTTAATAACACTACTAAAAGACATTAATTTTAATTTTAAAAATATATAACTTTTACATAAAATAACAGTTTTAACAGAATTAAGAAATATCTTAAATAATATTGTTACTCATCTGGTCTGAAAGTTTAACAGTGAAAATATTCAGTTAGTTGCGTATATATAATTAAACTAAAGAGACCAAAACCAAGATTGATTTAGAAAAACTCAAGATGTTTGGTTCCATGGACATGTACCTATTTTATTTTATCAGATTTTCAGATTAAGGTAACTGACTTAATTGCACAAATTTGAATATTACATAAAATATAAAAATCAGGAAATAACAACTATCCCAACTGACTAGAGATAACCACTATGATTATTAGTGTATTTTTTCTAGTGCTATTGATATATTTTTCACATAATTTTGATTCACATAATACTTCAGTTAAAATATAGCAACCTATTTTTTCACTTATTCTGTAAACATTTTTCTTGTAATTATTATTACATCTTAATGTTTTTAATGTTCTGTACTAATACAAAAAAATCACTAATTAATAAACTTGAGAATTTTTTATTTATGTTAAGCATTTTTTGAAACTTAATTCTAGAAATTGATTACGACTATTTTTTAACAAAAACTCTGAAGCCCACAAAAATAACAAAGCACAGAGGGATGAATACATTAATTCAGTACTCTTTCGCATTGCCAGTGGCCTCCTAACAGCCTAACAGAGCCAAATATGGCTCTGTGTTTAATTTATTTCATTGGTTCAGAGATCTCTTTGGTTTTTAATTTAAGATTTTGCACCCAGACTCATGTATATTATCCCCCAGATTCTCCATCAAACCTATCCATATTTTTGCTATCAGAAAGGGTGAAGACAGGAATGGACTGCTCAACTACAGAGGCATAAACCATTTTATCATTTAAAAAAATAAAATAATTATAGATATGTGTTATAATTCTAAATTGAATTAACAGGTAAACTCAAGACCAGCCAATGGTGAAAGCAGTAGGACACTGCCATGCAAGGCTGGGGCTACATGGAAAGCCCAGGTTCGGTTCCCAGACCTACCTGAGGTCTCCCTATATATATGCTGACTGAGACTCGGGTGGATTGTGGTATGAAGACCCTGTTAGAGGTGTCTCTCTCTCATCCTCTCTTTTTCTCTCTGATTCTCTCTCTTGGACGACATGAATAAATAACATTTTTAAAAGAGTTCCATTTATTCAACTGCTTTTTAAAAATATTTAATGGGGCCAGCAGGTGGTGTGGTGTTAAGGTGTTGGGTTCACACATGGCCAACAGTGGTTTGAGTGCCGTACCTGATGGCTTGCTTTCTCACTTTCATTCTCTCTCTCTGTGTCTCTCGCTGGTGAGTGCACATGCCCTGTAGCAAAATTAAAATAATAACAATGATAAAATATTTTTTAAAAAACTAAAAACTTTATATTTTAATATTTAATAGTGACTGAGCATTTATGAACAGGTCTATTCTAAATGCTTGATGAATTAGTAAGTCAATGAATTCTCCCAATAACCCTATAAAGCAGACACTTTCTACCTTCATTTGTTAAAAGAAGTAGTTAAAGATCAGGTAGTTCAGAGGCCATTTAGCATGAGGAAGAGAACGTACTTGTTTAAAAGTCAGATTCTCAGCAGTGTCCCAAATTATAAAAAGAATTCAAATAATAATTTTTTTCCTTGACTCCAAATAAGACTGAGGCATCATTGAACAATTTCGTGGATGACAATATTAAGATCTGTTACTCAAGAATTTAACTGTAAACATAGTAGTTGAAAGAATCGCTTATTAGTGGAAGGACTTACAATGAATAATAATGTATAGGTAAAATCTCATTTACTACTCTAAAATGGAAAAAAAAAAACAATGGTGATTAAGCACTTCATAAAATACAAATAAAAGAAGCTCATAAACCTGCATCTCCAAACTTTTACAGCTAAAAACTTGTGTTGAAAATACTTTCTAGGAAATGAAAAGGACTGGAATAATGATTTCAGTGTACAATGTAGTATGCTGATATTTTAGAATTACATTTCAAAAGAATAATTTGAAGATTCTAATTAGCCCTTATGTAATAGTTAACTCTTACTATTGTCACATACTTAATTCTTATCTTTCCCTCTAAATATTGAAGCAATTCTAAAATCCTTTGCCACTCCCTTTGTAAGAAAGATGTTTTAAGAAACACATCCCTGACTCCCATCCTCCATGCCAGGGTTCTCAAGTCCACCCTACTTGGCATACCTTTGAGTTTATTGTGCTCAGAGTCCGCTGGGAAGAGGGAATCTGGAAAGAGCTTGGGAAAGGTGAGTCCCGCGTACTTGGGCCGATTCTCCACATAGTTTCTTACTGTGGGTTGCAATTTCTTCATAAATTCTGGACATGGTGTTCCTAGTTGCTCAATTACCTTATTCCACTGGTCAATATCTGATAATTGAATAGTTAAGGGAAAAAAGTGCAGAACACTCGCTCTTGCCTTTCAAGAGTCAAGAGGCTAACTCTCCTCAGAATCTTGAACAGTTACTAACACAGTTGGAGTTTTACTATGTGACAGAGAACATAAATATAAAATCAGAATTGTCAGGTAATAAATCCTCCTGGAACTCCAAATTCATTTTTAGAACTTACACAATTTGGGGATATTAGCATTATTTAGCAAAAGTAGGATATCATGGAATTGTCTTTGGGTTATAAAAATAAAAGTTATTCAGTAACACATAAAAAGAATTTCTTACATTAATATAAAGTTCTATGTAATCCTGTGATTTAGAAGAAAAAATATACAATGGCATTTTACCTTGAAGTTACCTCAATCATTTTAAAAATAACAAGCATACAAATTTTAATTAATATTCAACTACAGTCTTCCTAAATTACCATTAGGATTTTTTTCTTTTCTAAATATTAGGAAATTTCATCATCTGTTGATGTTTTTACTCAAACTCTTAACACATACGATCAATATAAGTGATAAGCAAATTAACATTAATTCCTTACCAAAGATTTTTTAAAATTTGCATTTACCAAATAGTCACCATTTCATGTCTATTGTTTTTACTCTAACATCCTTGAATAGCGTTTTCAATGAGATATGAGGGTGAACAGAGGGATATTTGATTTAAGATGACAAGTTTTCATCCAAATACAAAAAGTACATTAAACATGGAAGAGGAAAAAGATAGCCTCTCTATGGAAATCAATACCCTCCAAAATGAAAGCAAGCTCTTTTGAACAGACATACCTATGATTAAAATTATCTTTTTCATCTATGATTAATATCTGATATATCAGAGCCTTGAAAATCATAAATACCACCCATGAAAATTCTAAAGGACCAGCTGGAAGCAGCTGATTTCTGACAGATCTCACTATATTCAGAAGGTGATGGAGGCCTTGATAGTTCTTAAGCCAGCACCACAAGCAGTGCTCTCTACAATGTTTATTCTTCTATGAATCTATCCTTTACTATTAAGTTGATCAATTTAATTTTACTCATGTGATGTGCGACAGCTCAGGGACCCTTGCCATGGTATTACTTAATTGAGGTATTCAAGAGAGTTGGACTAAAAACTGTGGACTCTTTCGATGAAAGACAGATTTGAACAAAGACAAAATCAAGTTAATTTATAAATCCTCTTTTACTTCCTTTATGATCTGGATGAGTAAAATTTCAATTACTACACATTCCCTTGATTATTAGAATTAAAAAATACATATAACAATGGACTATCAAGAAATGAAATGAGGGTAGGAAAAACTAAATTATATTTGTTTAAAAAACAGTAGCAATAATTAACTAAGTACCTGCTTCAATATAAATTCATCTAAGTTACTATGTGCATGAGAATATAGTAGTAAGTCAGAATCATTAAAAATAAACTAAAACATTATGTAAGGTTATTCAAGTAACTCTTAGATAAAAACTTATGTTAGTATTATGAGTATAAGTAAGCTAGGGCTATTTAGATATATTTAAATGTAAACATTAGAATAGTTAAATAAAACTCAAATGCTGGTTTGTCATTATAATTTATGAAATGAGGCCTATTCTCCGATACAGATATGTTATCATGACCTGATGAGACCTCTTTAATCATTGGTCAAATTCCCACAGAATTATGAAGACTTGATGTCAAACTTTATGAAGCAAAGTAGCTGCCTGATTTTTTTCAGAAAAAAGTCATTTAACAAAGTTAGCAAAATGTTCCCAACACACTATTATACTCTATTTACATTCACCTGGACTTCCTAGTTCATTCATTAAACAATCAATTGCTTTTGGGGTAGTATTCCCCAAACTATTCTAGAGTGAATATTTATTTATTTATTTGTTTATTTAAAGTTTAAAAAGAGTTCAGATATTCTAGAATTTGTTTAACAAGGAGAGTTAAAATGTTTCTTTCAATAAGTCCTAATTAGACTCTGTAGAAGTACTCAGTGTACTTTCCTATCTTAGATTACTTTTAAATGAAAAGAAGGGCAGCAAGAATTTTTAATTAATGTCAGTGAAACAGTCACATGCTCATGCTACAGATACGAAGTATGACCGCTATAAAAGTCAATGCCTTTATTTTAACCAGTGCATTTCAAATTCTTTCTGCGAACATGTGTATTTAAATGGTATGTGCTTCTTTTTCAGATGTTCATAGACCAGAACATGAACAACTATGTCAAATTTAATCAAACACATGATTTTTCTTTATAATCATAATTAAACCAATATAAGCCAAGTAAAATTCAAGGTTGGAAGCCTTATCTTCAAGTATTTAAGAGAAAATTTTAAACTGATATGGTAAAAATTGCTTTATTTTGTCCATAGAACTGATGTATGATTTTTCACAGGCAATGCCCTTATAGAATGTCTCTGAAGTGCCTTCCCTTTTTTATCAGGTCAGCAAATTTATATAAAACAAGTTTATTAACATTTTAATTAGAAAATAAGGTAATAACTTTTAAAAAGAAAATCAACAGATATCCAGTTATTATATTTGTTAAAAATACATAAAATCTTAACCAGATTTTGTGATTATTTGTTAAATGTTAACTTGGAAAATATTTTTTAAAAAGAATGGCCATAAATATTTTTGTAAAGTATTTATTTGCTTTAGAACACCCATTAAATTAAATCATCATTTGTATACTGCATAGTATAAGAATCTGAATATAGAGATACCAGCCCTGTATAGTTATCAAAAAAGCCAGGCTGGCAGGTGGCATGGTGGTTAAGGTACTGGACTCCCACAGGGCCAACTGTGGATCAAGTCTCAGACCTGGCAGCTCACATTCTTACTTTCTCTCTTTCTCTGGTCAAATAATAATAATAAAGAAAATTAAGTAATTCTTAAATAAAAACCATATTTGTTTTTTGTATTTTAATCTATTGTTTCAGAAAATATCATCCTTAACATAAATTATCAAAAGTACTGAATGAAAATAGAAAAGTGGTATTTACTAAGAATTATTTGATAATAAATTTCTTCATATAATCCTGAACTCACTACATAAAAATAAAGAGTTACAGGGTAGGCAGGTGGTGTGGTGGTTGGGGTCCTGGACTCTCCCACAAGGCTGACCATGGTTTAAGTCCCAGATCTGACAACTTACTTTCTTACGTTCCCTCTTTCTGTGTCTCTCTCTTGTTAATTTAAAATAATAATAATAAAATTAAATAAAAATAATTCTTAAAAAAAGAGTTGTGTTGCAAAAAGTTTAATCATATGAGTTGATGACAAGACAAGAAAAATGTGCAAGTGTGATTATTATTGAAGTCTTCAATAAATTGAATAATAGAGTAAAACCAAGTAAATATGGAGAGTAAAAAAATCAGTATCTGAAATCCCAAGATTGAAAATTATTCTGGGACTAGCAGGTGGCATGGTAGTTAAGGCACTTGACAGTATACCATGGCCAACCACCGTTTGAGTCCTGGACCTGGTGGCTCGCTTTCCCACTCTCTCTCTCTCCCTCTCCCCCTCTCTCTCTCTCTCTGTATCTCTCTTTGGTCAAATTAAAAAATAAATGAATGAATAAATTTTAAAAAACAAAACAAATATTCTAGTTAATATTGTGAGGTAGTTAAGAACTTACATATTAAGCACTTTTCTTTTTTTAAAAATGTATTTCTTGGGACCAGTATAATGGCTATGTTGCTGGACTCCCATGTAGTTGACTGCGGTTCAAGTCCTGGACCTGGTAGCTTAAAACTCACGCTGGAAGCATATGCATGTGTGCCCAAGGTCCAGAGAAGAGAATGGAGGAGAAGGGATTGCAGCTTGGCCACCCCCCCACCCAGGGGGTGATTTCTCACTTTCTGTCTCTCTCTGTCTGGCAAGCACACGCGCCCTATAGCAAAAAAAAA